CTTTCCGCGCCCTGGTCCCGGTTTTTGGCTGAGGTGTCCAATTGACAGTGAGGCAGCGTGTCCTGAGGCGTGAGGTCCGTATTCGCAAGCGTTGCTTTCGCTCGGTGCTTTACCAAAAACCTGGCTGCCCAAGCCACTGGTCCACCAGAAGGGCTGCAACGAAGCGGAGTGGTTTGGGCTGGTGTCTCCCCAAAACAAGCATTTGTTGCTTAGGGCTGCCAGAAGGACTGTGCTGTCACGGATGGAGTGAGAAGGAGGCAAAAATAATGTGGTTTATTGGTGTAAAACAGTGAGTTAACAAAGTTCAGTGGTAAATGCGACAATTCTTTGTAAGATTCAGTGACAAGGTACCCTTGGTTATTTACTGCATAGAGGACAGGGTCAGACAAAACTGTCAGGGAGACCCTCCCGTTGAGTCATGAGGTTCAGAAGAGATTCCCTTGCTTTCTAAACTCCTTCCTCAGAGAGGAGTCTAGGTGCGGCTGGATCCAATCCTAGTCCCAGACTTGGTCAACGGTTTATGTCTAAAGGATTATATATGCACAATCAATCCTTTATGTGACTTAGCTAAGATGTCAAAGTTAGCATGCTGTTAGCCACTTATGAGAATGTGTTGCAGTAAGGAATCTCTCAACCTCAAGGAGTAACCTTGAGAGGCATCCCTGCTCAAAGGGAGATCCTGGAGTGCAGCCCGCTGCCCTGCAGGAGAGCTCAAAGGGCTCTTGGGCTGCCCGGTATTTATGGGGGTAAGAGAATTGGCTCATAGTCATCAAACAACTCTCTGTTGAGGTGGCACCATGCCACAATAGCCCTTCGCTATTGTATTGTTATCTGTCTCCCCCCACATCCAGTGGGTGCATCCTTCATGACCGGACACATCTATCACCACTGCCACAGGTGATTATCACTTGAACGACGTCAAAGGAGGGGGAGTCAGAGACGAGGGGGGAGCACACCGCCACATGTGGACACTCCAGAGCAATAATTTCGCTCCATTTTGCTGCAGTCTGGGAGAGACCAGGTGGTCTGGCTCTAAAGTGCTTCCTTCACGCAGCCCTCCGGCCCTCCCAGGCAGCCCTGGAACCCTCTGCAGTGGCTGTACCATCGCCTGTTGGGAATCAGCCCCTGGGGTGTATGGGAGAGGCTGCTTCTCTGAAGCAAGGGACAGGCAATGCTGTTTTCCTGCTTAAATAAAGATTTGGCACCTCTTGGAAGCCAAATCCAGTGGCTGGGTTCTGT